TTTTATTATCGAGGAAAAGAAAGAGTAAAAATAATATTAGAAGAAAAAAAATAGATAATTGTTTTTGTTTATTTATTATTATGTTATTTGTTTTGTAGAAATATATACAATCGAAAAAAAAAGAAAAATAAATTAATTTATTCAATTTTTTGTATTGTGTTAAAAAATTATTTGAGATTGGTAAGAAAAGAAAATAAAAGAAAGCCATTTGATCTTGAAAACAAAAATTGAGGGAGATAATGGAGAGGAGGATATGATGGGTAAGGTTACTTGGTTACCGGTTCAGGAATTAATTAAAGGGTGGACGGATAGCGATATAAATAGTAATATATATGGCTCTGATAAACAAAGTTTTGGAAATAATCAATTGTTGCTCCCGTATAGAGAGCCCAGAGAAAATTATCGGGGAAGGAGAGTAGAAATAAGACAGAATTTTGAAGCTCGGGGAAGAGGAATAATGAGTAGTTATAATTGCGGTAAACCAGGTCATGTGCTCAGAGATTGCCGGAAGGCGAAGCGTTTCGGTTATGGAAAATTAGGACATATAGCCCCTTATTGTCCGGGTAAACAAGAGAGATTAAGATGTGCTGGTTGTGGTAGGTTTGGGCATAATAAGGAGGAATGTAATGCGAACAATTACAATAACAAAAGTGGTTTCCCACAGAGAGTGAGTCCAAATGCTTTAAATGTCTGAGGACTATTGAGCGGGAGAGAGGGGAAGAGGGGCGGGCAATTAATATCGGAGTTAGAGGAGAAAAATATGGAATGTTTTAGATGCCGAAAGGGTGAGCATGTGGCGAGGGATTGTGAGAATTTGTGACTATATGATAGTAAAAAAATTGCAGTACAGGTCGGGGCGAGATGATTAGGAGGGACGGAGGAGGGATTTAATCAGCGAAATGGCAAATAAAGAGGGATGCGTAAATATGTTACAAGAGGGGATAGTCCATGATCCTTGTCCTAGAGTAATGATAAATTTGGGGGGAAGAATGGTTCCCATGTTATTTGATACAGGAGCTGCCATTTCGGTAATTAGTTATAATGGATATCAAAGTATTTGGCTTGGGGAAAGGATAGAGAATGAGGGGTTGAGAATAAAGCAGTTTGTTGGAACTGGCAGCCATGGGTAGGGTAGAGATAGTGGCGACATCGGAGGAAAGGGTGGAAATATTAGATTTATGGATTATTAACGGAATATAAAAGCGGTGATGGGTTGGGATTGGATCACTAGAATTGGTCCATAGTATAGTTTTTGTGGAGTATTTTCATTGTGGGGAATATTTGTACCAATAACGAGTGAGAAATATGCCGTTATGTCCTTTAGAGAAAATGTGTTGCCTGAAATTGAGACCATGTTTAATGAGGGAACCAGCGAAAATCTTCCTAGGAGCGAGACAAGGAGCGAAATAAGAAAAAATAATTCCAGAGGCGTAACAAGGAGCAAAATAAGTGAAAATAATTCGTGGAGCAAAATAAAGGGAGGTAATGATAGAACAGAAATAAAAGAGAATAACTCCAAAGGCGAAATAGGGAAGAAGAATCCTTAAGGTAAAATAGGGAAAAGAAATTCCGAGGGAGAAGCAGTAAATAATGATTCAAGAGAATAAGTAGGTAGAAATTACCCGGGGCACGTTGGGGCCGCTGAGAGGGGTCGTGATATTACGAGGAGAGAGGAAAGGTGAAGGAAAGGAAGGAGGAATCACAGCAAGAAAACCGAGAAGTGATGAATACCACCACGCAAGAAAATCGAGAAATGAGGAATACAAAGACGAAAGGAAATCGGGAGGTAATGGAGGAAGGAACAATGCCCAGGGAAGAAGAATTGATAACTAAGGAAGATGAGGGGAGAAAATTGGCTATGAACCGAGTTCAAGGAGGAGTACGAAGATTAGTACAAAGTTATCAGGAAATTTCCAACGAAGACTTGGGATGCCTCAGAGATTATGAAGTAGACATTAAATTAAAGGATGGTCGTGTTCCGAAGTTTTGTGCGTTACGGAGGATACCGTTTGAATGGAAAAAGGAAGTGGAATTGGAGTTGGATCAATGAGTACGGAAAGTATTGTATGTCCAGTGAAATACAGTGAATGGGCGATTGTTAGTGCCTGTGAAGAAAGCAAATGGGAAACTTCGGTTATGCGAGGATTTTCGAGTTACAGTAAATCCGTGGGTAGTGGAGGTTAAATATTTCTTGCCAAGAATTAAGGAAATACTGGCTAGTCTAAAAAGAAGTGTTTATCTTTCAAAAGTGGATTTCTCTAATGCATATCTGCAACTACGGGTAAGGCCGGACTTTTAAAACATTAATCAATTTCAAAATAAAAATCATGGTTATCTGTAATGTCAACAAGTAAGATATTATATGTAGCGTAAATAAGCCAATGATGCACACTTAATAGGTTAATGAATGACAAAATTTTTTTAACAGATTTACGTTTAAAAATATTTGGGCAGCATTACCTACAAATTTTGATAAATATCGTCTAACAGCCTTATATTTGCAAAAATTTGGACAGCACTTTCGTCTATTAGGCTTAATTCTAAAATTTGTATATTTTGAAAAATTTGAGCAGCACTTCCGTGTATTAGGCTTATTTAGTAAAAATTTGCGCGAATTTCTAATAGATTTATTTTCGAAAAAATTGGGTATTTCCGTAGCAGGTTTTTACTGACCACAATTTTGGGCAGCACTTCCGTATAATTTGTCTTTTTACTTAAAACCCAACAAATGGGCCAACAAAATCTTACTCAATGAAACATACCCAAAAATGGGTACTAACTCTTACTGAATATAACCGCCCAACAAATGGGTCACTACACTCTTTATTGAACTCTTACTGACTATAACTGCCCAACAAATGGGTAAATACACTCTTACTTGCAATCACCGCCCAACAAATGGGTATATACACTATTACTTTATATAACGGCCCAACAAATGGGTAAACAACTTACTTGACTCTTACTTGCTATAGCCCAACAAATGGGTAAATTCAATCTTAAACTTAACGCGAAGGTCGCGAGCTATTGGCCACCAATGTTTTAAAAATCCAATACTTATATAAAGTTATAATGTTTATAAGTTGACTAATATAAAATATTATTGTTCTTACTTGATACCTTTTTTCTTATTCTTTAACTTTTTCTTTTTTGTTTTTAAGATCAAATGGCTTTCTATTTTCTTTTCTTACCAATCTCAAATAATTTTTCAACACAAGACAAAAAAATGAATGAATTAATTTATTTTTCTTTTTTTTCTATTATATATATTTCTACAAAACAAATAATATAATAATAAATAAACAAAAACAATTATCGATTTTTTTTCATATTATTTTTTTTTTCCTTTTCCTCGATAATATAATAATAAATAGTATCTAAACAAAACAATTATCGATTTTTTTTTACTATTATTATTTTTTTCTATAACTATTACATCTACTATAATTTTCTACAATTAAATATTCGACCCGGCTATAACAATTTTAAAATTTAAACTCGACACGACCCGAGATTTTTAAAAAAATGTTAGGCCTAAAGCCCGAACCGTAATTATTTTTTAAAAATAGACCCAAAGTAACGGGATCAAAGGGTGCATGTGCCGGAAGGCTGAACAAGAATTATTTTGATTATTTAATGGGTTTGGGGTTAAGATATAATCTTTTTAAAATTTGTTAAATTATGTTTAACGTATTATAAACTAATGGGTTGGGTATGACCATAAAATTTTAGCCCATACAGGCTTCTGAAAATTTTTTTATTTAGGAACTGTAAACACCTTTTAAAAAATATTTAGAACTGGAAACCATTTTCCAGGTTCCAAACTTAAAAAAATTTTAATTACAAAATGTTTACTGAAATTATTGGCGTCAATGACACATTATAATACTTACCTAAACCGACGATTCATTTGTTAAAATTTAGTTTGAAGCGTCTTAGAACACAAATCAGCTGGCAACTGGCCATTTTTTTTTCTATATAAAATTTTTTGTATATTATTAAATTTTAACGTAAATTATTTCAATGGGAAACCAAGTGGCGTGTCATCAGCTTATTTGCAGTGATACACATTTAAATAAATCGTTATTCTAGGTAGACATGTCATTGGTTGGTGAACAATTAAATTTTTGACATACTAGAAAATAATTTTATCATTTCACACTAAATAAAAATATTTAAAACTACTTATTAATAATAAAATTTTGGACTCTTGATAGATATATTGGCTTTCAGTTTTATATTCACTTATTCTTTGAAAATTTATAAAATAATGTAATATTCTATTTTTAAAATTAAAACAAATTGCTGGTAAACTAAGGGTAATGTATCCATCTATAAATTTTGGTTTGCATTATTGGCGCTATCTTTACATGCCAACTCAATTAATTTTTTTGCATAAAATATTATTTTATTTGTAAACGAACCTTAGAAAAAAAATTTCAAAAGAATTGAAGGATAATATTTCTTTCAAAAAACAATTTAAAATTTTCAAATAGGTATAGGATGGCCATCATAAAAAAATTCAACTTTTTTCCCTCTCATCTTAATTAGTCATAAACTTAATTATGAATAATATATTTAGTTCTATTAAGTTTCTAATATATAACAATATATACATAAAAGTAAAAATAATTGATTTTTGAACTTTTTGATCCCTATATTATTTCAGGAAATAAAAAAATCAAAATTTCTTTTTTTGGCTTAACTAGATTATATGTAATCATCATAGAAATTGATTAAAATGGGTGGATTGTAGCATGTGATTTGATATGAAATGATCATAATATAAAATAAATGTGTTTCACTAAAAAAACTCGAGTGAATTCTATAGATTCCATCCTAATTTTTATAGCCCTATTTCATTATTTAGCAAATTTTTAAAAAAAATCTTATATAATTTTAATCTTTATAAATATGTGGAATATACGAACTTCTTAAATTGATTTACAATTAATTCATAATATAATCACTGTTTTTTTTAAAATAAACTGTAATTTAACTTGGCCACAGGATTCGTGTTTATAAAATTCGATTAAACGGGCAATGCATCTGATAACATCGGCACTTTTATTCATAACTATGACCGCAGCTGTACCTAATGCAGTCTTATGTTCTACAAGAGAATCGAAATCCATTAAGACTTTTTCACAAACCCTATAAATTGATACATACATTTGATTATAATAATTAATTGTTAAGCCCTAGGATTTCGATAAAGTGATCTGAGATTAAAGCAAATTGGGCATGATCCAAGTATGAATAAATTACTCTTTAGGAATTAAGGGAGTTGATGAGCCACCAGGAATAACAGCTAGCAAATTATCCCAACCACCAATGACACCACCGGCGTGTTTATCGATAAGTTCCTTCAATGGAATGGACATGGCTTCTTCAACTGTACAGGGAGCATTTACATGACCAGATATGTTATATAATTTAGTCCCGCTATTACGATCTCTGCCAAATTGAGCAAACCATTCCCCAGTCCGTCTGCATATACTCTTATATTGGTATAAAATATTATTATTCAACCAGAGAGAAATGCATTTATTTAATATATCAAAGGAGTGGCATTATTATCTTCTATCATTTAACTTTGCTAAAAAGTCAAATAAATTATTTAAAAATGCTAAAAAAACGTTTAATTCATATTTTCTTTTTAGAAATATTCAAATCAAATTAAGGCAAACTGATGCGCTCAATACAATACACTAAATGTTAGATAGATATAATATAGTGCTTACAGGAGCCACTGCTACCGTTTCAACATTTGCAACAGTTGTTGGACATCCAAAAATACCAACATCCGCGGGAAACGGTGGTTTTAATCTTGGTTTACCCTGCTTGCCTTCAATAGACTCTATTAACGCCGTTTCTTCGCCACATATATATGCTCCCATTCCTCGATGAACAAATATATCAAAAGGGTATTCCAGCTTAGATTCTTTAATAAAATATTCAGAATAAAAGTAAATTATTGTATATGAAATATTCAGTATAATGGTAAATTATTGTGTATATTAAAATTCTTAAAAATTAATTGAGCATGATCTTTAAAAAAATTAATTAATAAGAAATGCAATATTAGTTGATTAGAAATTAAAAAAACATGCATCTAAAAATAAAGTAAAAATTAAACTAAGCCATGTCTATATTAATAATTTCAGATTAATTAACTATTGGGAATTATGAAAATTAAAAGATTAAACTGGTCAAATTTGAAAGAAGAGTGTTCCGAATAGTTAAAAATATATTGATTTAATTGATTAAAAGTATGATAAAATATAACTTTTTCCTAAAAAGCCCATGTCATAAGCTTCTTGAATCGCGGTTTGAACGTTAACGCTTTCATTGTAAAATTCTCCTCTTATATAAATATAAGCCGTTTTAGCACCCATGGCTCGCCCCGTGATCAAGCAGCCTTCAATCAATTTATGTGGATCATGTCTCATTATTTCTCGATCTTTGCATGTTCCTGGCTCACCTTCATCAGCATTTACAACCAGATATTTTGGCCTATATATCAGGATAACAAACAAATAAGTTTTAATCAACATAAGCTTGTAGGATTATATCTACTAAATATTGTGGCCTGCAAAGCCGGCCCATAATAAATTTGGAATGTGAATAACTTTAGAAAGTCAGGTTGTGAGTGGGCATGAAAATCAAAATTTTACCAGGAAAGTCGTAAACTTTTTATTCAAAATTAGTGATGATTTAATAATTTCGATTAATAATAGGCAAGAATAAGATGCTCCCGTTTATGAGCCATAATTCTCATTGTTTGTTTTCTTTATTTATTTTTTGAGTGGAAATAGCTTTTTCTTAAAAACAGTTCATTTTTTGATAAAACAAAAATTGGATTAATTTGGTTTATATTTTTTTAGATCAAAATTCCAATATATTTACCTGGTGGTAAAAATCAAATAATATATATAAAACAGTATCGCATGTAAGATTTTAAAACCCTCTGTCTATACCTAAATCTATTTAAAGGTATAGAGTTTTCTTTATTTTTTAAATATTTCCCGTAAACGTTTAAACAACAAGCCAGTCTTATTGTGCTTATAGCAATAACCTTCCCAAATAGTTTCTTCAGACAGAAACGAGTACACTCAGTTCTATTTAATAAAATTTTAACTCAGTCTGATGGCAATGAGAGAATCAAATGTTTCTACATTTAACCAGGGTTGCCATATTTCCCTCCAGCAATCACGAAAGAAACAATTCAAAATTGTAGTGTTGCTAAACGGCTCGATTTTTAAAACGGTAAGTCTAATATTTTAGCCAAAAAATATTATGCACTGCAGGTTCATAGATGGCAGAGAAGCTTGGGTATCTATTAACGTTTCGAGGCTTGCGCAAAATTATTTTGGCGTAATTTAATATAAATCGAGCCGTTTATCAACACTACAGAATTGTTTTTAATGATTATATCAAGTGCTTAAAATTTATCATTATAATATCCGCTTTTAAATATTATATATAGCTCGAATTTATTATCATTAATCAAAAATAATCTCATAGTTAGCGCCTTCACCACGAATTCGCGCTAACTATGAATGTAGGGTTAGTGCTCAAAATACCTCAAGGAACGAGGGTTACAATTATTTTTATAATAGAATATGAATACCATAATAGGGGGAGGACTTTAATAATATATATTTTTTAAATATTCATTATACTTATATTTCAAATCAGTAATTACAATCTCACATACATTTATGATAGGGATGTACCGATATTTTTTATCAGATCGGATCGGGCCGATATTTCACCCATTTTAAAATATCGAATTTCCCGATCCGATATAAAATGGCGTTTTTAACAAAAATAAAATGTTATAAAATTTTAAAAAAAAGTTATATCTAAAAAATCGAAATTCCATTTTTATGTTTATTTTTTTAATAATAATAATAATTAATTTATAAACATTTTGCCATATTGTTATTTTTTTGCGCATTCGGTTTATAAAAGTGTGCGATAATCTGTTTTTAGTGAAGTGACAGTTACCATCGCCACAGGCTGACCTCTGATAAATTGGAAATTTTGGTATTTCTAAATATAAATCTTCGAATTAATGTTAAATATTATTTTAAATATTTATTTCATATTTCATAATATATTTGTTTATTATTTATTATGTATATAGATTAATTTTATTACTTATTATATAAAAGTGATTTAACAATAAAAATATTTTATATAGTTTTAGAATTGCAATTGAATTGAATATAAACTATAACTGATCATTATAATATATTTAAATGACATAAGTTATGGTATAGTTAAATTATATATGTTATACTAATAAAAAGTATATTAAAAATTAAAACCATTGGTATCTTTACAGAATACAAAATTAGATATGATTTCGGATCGGTAATCGGCCGATATCAATTTAATATCGGGAATACCGGATCGTATCGGCCAAAAGTGGTATCGGTACACCCCTAATTTATGACATAATTCCTTTTCCCATATCAGATGCTCAAATTACCTCAAGGAACGAGGAGTATAATTAAATCTTTTGTTAAGCCATCTTCAGTGGAGGTGATACGATTGTGGCACATGCCCTTTTTGATAGGAAGTGGATAATAAAACAATAGTATTTGATAAGCCTTTATTTCTTTGAATGGTGCAAACCACATGTGAAATATACCTTGATGTATACATTATTTAAGTACTCCCCCTTTAAATTTATAGACTATTATAAAAAATAATAACATCCCTCGTTCCTTAAGATATTTTGAGTATCTAATGCCGTTAACTTGATTGTTATTGTACGATTGCTACAATTCTTAAATTTTTTTTATATAACTTAAAGAGATATAAATATTTTTCTATCATAAATTCCTATTCATATTTTGATTTCGGATTTCTATCATATGGTAACTACAAATTTCTAAAAAATATAAAAGTATATAATTTAAAGATAAATAAATATTTCTAAAAATATTTGGAATCGGGGAAAAAGAAACCTTAATACATTTGACTTTTGAATCGATATTTAAAATTCGATATTTAAGACTTAAGCGAAGGCGTACGTGAAATTGATATTTATTTATAGGACATTATTTTTGCAAGAAAATAATTTTGTATTTGTAGTAATATTATATATATTTTACTTTATATTTTTATGGTCTTTTATTTATAATATTATATAATCTGTTTGTACATTGTTTTGCAGCTATAAATCAAATATTTAATGTATTGATAATTGTAAAAGTTAATTTATTTTCTTGTTGAAATAATATTTAAATGTTTTTTATATAAAATTAACTTTTACCGAAAGATATATATATATACTATACTGAAAATTTATGATAAAGATTAGTGTTGTTAAAAAGTCGAGTTCTTACGACTTGCGACTCGAGTCGTAGTCGTAAAAAACGGCTCCGACTCAAGCCGATCAAGGAGCCGCATGAGTCGGCTCGCTTAGTCGGCTCACTTAGTCGGCTCGCTTAGTCGGCTCACTTAGTGGGCTCAGAGGGTAGCTTGAGTTTATTTTAAATTTAGAGCCAAAAATTATTTTAAAGTTATTGAGAAATTTTAAATAATAATGTAGAATTTTATTTATTTATTTTTAGTAAAATAATTTATTTTATTTATATTTTATTTAATGCAAATAATATGTTTTGATTTGATTATAATAAAAATGGATTTATTTATTTGATATTTTTTTAAATAAAAAAAAAATTAATATTTTTGAGCTAAAAATTTTAAGAAAAAAATATTTTTGAAACATATTTTGCTGATTTTTTGAAGAAATTTTATTCTTTTGTTTTATCATAAAATTTTATTCTTTTTTTAATTATATCATAAATAAATAATCTTTTAGGTCAAATCTTCTATAGTTTTTTTTAAATTATTTTTATAAATATATCTATATTTTAAGTTTATTATTAGAGGTGGCTTTTTCTAAATATTTTTTTAATAAATATATTTATATTTTAAGAATATTAAAAGAGGTGGTTTTTCTAAATTATTTTTTTATTAATATTTATGTCAAACTTTTTTTTAATGCCGCAATTGTCATATGCGTTATTTTTTAAGATTTTTGGACACAAAAGGGTTATAATATAATTTATATTGTAAAGATATTATATTATAAATTCAATGAAGATGTTCCCTGGAAAAATGATAATTATCATAATGGGTAGGTATATTTTTGAACATATAAGATTTTTTTGTGACGCTAATGGGCAAAAATATGTTTCTTTAACAGGTAAAATTTAATGTAGATGTACCCTAGATAAATGACAATTGTCATAATAGTTATTTTTAAAGTTTTTTGACGTAAATAGGCTAAAATAAGTACTGCTAACATGTCTAAATAAAACTTCAGTGAAGATGTACCCTAGAAAAGTAACAATTGTCATAATCGTTGTTTTTAAAGTTTTTCGAATTTTTTTGACGTAAATGGGCTAAAAGCATTGCTAACATGTTAAAATAAAATTTTAGTGAAGATGTACGATAGATCATAATCGTTGTTTTTAAAGTTTTTCGAATTTTTTTGACGTAAATGAGCTAAAATAAGCATTGCTAACATATTTAAATAAAATTTTAGTGAAGATGTACGATAGATAAGTGACATTTGTCATAATCGTTGTTTTTAAAGTTTTTCGAATTTTTTTGACGTAAATGGGCTAAAATAAGCATTGCTAACATGTTTAAATAAAATTTTAGTGGAGATGTACCATAGATAAGTGACAATTGTCATAATCTTTGTCTTTAAAGTTTTTTGAATTTTTTTGTCGTAAATGGGCTAAAATAAGCATTGCTAACATGTTTAAATAAAATTTTAGTGGAGATGTACCATAGATAAGTGACAATTGTCATAATCGTTGATTTTAAAGTTTTTCGAATTTTTTTGACGTAATTGGGCTAAAATAAGCATTGCTAACATTATTAAATAAAATTTTAGTGGAGATGTACCATAGATAAGTGACAATTGTCATAATCGTTGTTTTTAAAGTTTTTCGAATTTTTTTGACGTAAATGGGCTAAAATAAGCATTGCTAACATGTTTAAATAAAATTTTAGTGAAGATGTACCCTAGATAAGTGACAATTGTCATAATCGTTGTTTTTAAAGTTTTTCGAATTTTTTTGACGTAAATGGGCTAAAATAAGCATTGCTAACATGTTTAAATAAAATTTTAGTGGAGATGTACCATAGATAAGTGACAATTGTCATAATCTTTATCTTTAAAGTTTTTCGAATTTTTTTGACGTAAATGGGCTAAAATAAGCATTGCTAACATGTTTAAATAAAATTTTAGTGGAGATGTACCATAGATAAGTGACAATTGTCATAATCGTTGTTTTTAAAGTTTTTCGAATTTTTTTGACGTAAATGAGCTAAAATAAGCATTGCTAACATATTTAAATAAAATTTTAGTGAAGATGTACGATAGATAAGTGACAATTGTCATAATCGTTGTTTTTAAAGTTTTTCGAATTTTTTTGACATAAATGGGCTAAAATAAGCATTGCTAACATGTTTAAATAAAA